ATTCCTGGTTTGGATGGTCTCCATGGTTCACCGGTAGGTAGTTTATACTTTTTTCTACTTTTCTCCTGCTAAAATCATCTGTGTCCAATAAATACAGTCGTGTTTCTATAAACGGTCTAAAAACCATTCCTCATAGCAAGTACTAACACCATCTGCCCATGACCCTGACACAGACAGATACTTAAATAAAATCATCACAATATGGATGTTTAAAGCTTCCCTGTCTGGTATCTACCCTTTTAATATTTGTAATTTTAAAGTGTATTATCTCTACTTGTCAGGGTTTGCCTGGTCCAAAAGGAATTAAAGGAGATCCTTATTTTGTCCCACGTTTTCCTGTAAGTCCATAATTGAATTGGGTTAGTCTTTGTGAAAACTCCTACTTTGTCCTAAATCCTATTTCTTATTTGCTACATTATTCTCTGTTGTTATCTTCGCAGAGGACGTGTGATGTAGATGGACAACGTGGATTACCTGTATGTTGCCTTTGGAGATATATTCTCTGAAATCTCACAGTATTTTAAAGTTCCTATTGTGACTATTTTAAATGAATTAAATCAATTCTTACATTGTTTGTTTGTTTTTTCTGCAGGGCTTAAAAGGAAAAGTTGGACGTAAAGGTCAACCAGGCCGTCCTGGTCCCGTGGGCCCTGATGTAAAAATAAATTTGTTAATCAAGATATTTCATACATGTTAAACAGAAAACAAAAAGAGACATTAAGAATGAAAGCTTATGTGATGTTTATGTGATCTGTCTAGGGCTTGAGAGGACCTCCAGGTGACAGAGGAATGCCAGTCAGTGTCACACTCTTTGTCTGTAATACATTCAGCCACATACTGTAAAATAAAACCTTACAGCCATTCTGTTTGTTATGTGTAGGGGAATCCTGGAGGATCATTCGCTGGTGATAAAGGTGATGATGTAAGAACCTATATTTTCGCAGCATGGTTGTATCAAAAATTTCCATAATTTGTCTTTGTTGTGAAATAATCTCAGTGTAACTGTGTGTTTTATCTCAGGGGGAACAGGGTCCACCCGGCCCCCCAGGACCAGAGGAGATTGTTGAATTTCCTCCAGATTTTCTTCCACTCAAAGGCTACAAGGTGAAGGCCTAAGCAAAATATACATTTGACTTTAAGCTGCTTCTATGAATACCATCAGCAGTAGTATGCAGTATGCAATACTCGGTCTTAAACGCCATCAAGGTTATGAGAGGCTATGGTTAATAACTGCACATCAACTGATGGGTGTTTTATCAGCAGGTAAATAAAAGCGTGTGACCGTATCACTGATGGTAGATCTAATATATAAAATAGACAAAGATAACACACACTGATGACCTTGATTCGCTCCAAACCAATTCTCATTTCCTGTTTAATAATCCACTGCTGCATCTTCTCTAAACAAAGTGTTTCCTCATACAACTGAGGTTAAGGCTACATTTAAAATTTTAACCCTGGGCTTCAACAATAACACAACAATGTTTTTTCACTTCTTCTGTCCCATAGGGAGAAAAGGGTCTCCCTGGACTATGTGGACCAAAAGGCCAAATGGTGAGTGTTGTTCTGCATATAAAAGTAAAGATTGTGAAGAAGAGTTCATTTTTTTCTCTTTCTCTTCAGGGAGGTGGAGTGGATATCTTTGGGATAAAGGGAGAACAAGGAATCTTGGGATTTCCTGGATCTAGAGTAAAGAATCTCTTCTGATTTTTTTTTTTTTTTTACACACATTCAGTGTTTTTATACATGCAGATTATATTTCTTAACTATTCTGTATCTGCCACAACAGGGCTTTCCAGGTAATCCTGGTAGAGAAGGACGACCAGGACCTGAGGTAACCATCCCTACTATGATTTTCAGTTATCCTACAGTACTGGTATTAATTTTTTAACACAATTTTACATATTTTAGGGTTTCCGTGGAGACCAAGGACTCCCAGGTCTCAATGGAGGAACTGGGCCAAAGGTGAGCTCTGTCTTAACATGTAGACAAACGGAATAAAAAGATAAATTTAAAAAAGCAATATATACATTTTGCAACAAGCAACAACATTGCCACTACCAGAAATGGATGTAGTCCAACCTTCTCTCCTCTGCTGTCCTCTAGTGGCTATTCAATAGATCACTACGGTTCAATCAGTAGATAAACACGTGTGCTTGTTTATGTTAGGTTAGTGCAATTATTTACAACTGTGCTCCTGCAGGGTTTCCCGGGAGAACCAGGTCTCCCTGGACCGGAATACTTTCACAACGGAAGTGATGCCAGAGGTGAGAACAAAAGCATTTGTTCTAGAACTTTTTGTGTTGTAAAGTTTAACAATCTCCATCTGTATAAAATTCGAGCAATAAATGTAAATAACAACTGTGGGGCTTCTTTTCATTTGTAAGTTGACAGTATTACATGAATGTTCCAGGTGAAAAAGGTGACCGTGGATATCCAGGAACATCTGGACCACCAGGTGAACCAGGGTACCGAGGTCTGCAAGGGCCACCTGCCCCCCCAGGGTTTATAAGACCAGGTTAGAAAGTTACTACTGTTGTCAGTTCTTTGAGGGGCAACTGTGATTCTTGATCCAATTTAAATTTTGATTTATTGTTACTCCCACCTTCCCAGAAGAGCCAGGTGTTCCTGGTCCAAGGGGAGATTCTGGTCCAAAAGGCTACAAAGGAGAACCAGGAAGACACAACAACTTTGATCACATTTCACTGCTAGGACCAAAGGGAAGTAAAGGACTTTCTGGACCCAAAGGTGTCACTGGCCTCCCCGGTCGCCGAGGTATTTATGTTTGTTTCTAACAATTAAAAAATAATTAAAACATTTAAAAAAAATTCAAATGTCTTTGTGCATTGTACTCGTATTAAATAAAAAATAATTATTTTGTTTTTGTTTAACTTGAATTTGATAATTGGACCTGACAAGGATGTGGTGGTGAGTTTACGTTCATTAAACTATTTATATGATGACTTTTGTGTTGAATCTTTTCTTGGACAATTATGACGTCGATTAATCCAACAGATTACCACTGTGAGCCTGGTGACCCTGGTGACCCTGGTGACCCGGGATCCATAGGACCTACTGGAAACAAAGGGCTCAAAGGAATCAGAGGTATTTTGGGTAGAATGCAATTATCTTGCGGAAATAAATAATAAATCTTTCTTCTATTGGAATTTAATTAGACAATATACTATTTACTTTATTTTAATATGTTTTGGTCTTCTACAGGGTGCCCAGGTGAATGTGAATGCAGGTTCAGTGGGGGCAATGTTGGACCTGCTGGTCCACCAGGTTACACAGGACCTCCTGGCTTACCTGGGGCTTCAGGACCAAAAGGAGATCCTGGACTTCAAGGACCTGAAGGTCCCACTGGGCCTCAAGTGAGATTATTCTCATTCTAGCAAAAAAGCCTTCAAAACAGTTTTGTGAACAATGTTAAAACTGTCACTTTTTTTCCTTCCAGGGCCTTAAAGGAGTTCTAGGTATAAAAGGACGGAAGGGTCAGAAAGGTGACACATTTTCTGCAGCTGCCAAAGGTGAGCATTTGTACAGCCATACACCAGAACATCCTCCTCTTGTTGGTCACTAATATTCTGTTACATCTGGCACATAATTCATGTCTTTAAAAATAACAAAGCAATCCTCCTAAGATGTGAAATGATTTAATTTTCATGTCCTTTTTTTCATTAACCGTAATAATATTCACTGGTTTTTACATGTTGTCAAAGGTGCCAAAGGTGACCCAGGAGTTCCTGGATATGCTGGTCTGGTAGGAGTAACAGGACGGCCGGGACAGGATGGACATCCTGGCCTTCCTGGAGACCCTGGACTTCCAGTGAGTTTAAAAAAGAAAAGGTCAAATGTTTGTATGTTCTTTAAAATGCATCAGCAATATCTAATATCGCTATATATACAGTAATATATATTATATTAAATATTAATGAGTTTCTGTTTGCAGAAAACAACTTAAAGACTTTGGACTTATAAACTTATAAACCTGATGACATTGTGGACAAATGTCCCTCCATGACTGTCATTCTTCAGGGGGCTGGACATGCAGGACTACCTGGTCCCAAAGGATACCCTGGTGTTGTTGGACCTAAAGGGAATCCAGGCACCGCAGGCCCTAGAGGACCAGGTTTGCCAGGTCTAAGGGGTTCTCCAGGACCTACTGGAGATCCAGGACCGCCCGGACCCTCTGGATTTCTGGGGCGTCCAGGACCTCCAGGTTCGAGAAGGAACTAAACTGAAGTTGGTTGGAACTCAGGTCCAGTATCAGACATTTCTGACCTTAAATAACATTGTACTTAATGTATTTTTTATGTCAGGGGAAGTTGATAAGTGCTGCCATGAAAATGAGATCGGCTCTCCGGGTCCAAAGGGTGAGCCTGGTTTCCCAGGTAAATCTTATTTTCCAGTTGACTTACACAAATTGAGCACACTATAATTCAGCTTATAATATTTTTAATGTGTGCTTTACAGGAAATCCAGGTAGGCCTGGCAGAAATGGTCTTCAAGGACATCCAGGGCTCCAAGGCCCTAAAGGCATGAAAGGAGATAATGGTAATTTTGCAGTTGGGCTGCCAGGTAATACCATAACTTTTTTTTAAGTAAATTCCAACAACATGGGAGCAAGTATGTTGATGATGAAACAAGTCATTAATAATAGACATCAGGTTGATTTTCTTTTTTTTTAACCTGTAACAGGACCACCAGGTTTAGATGGGAACCCAGGTGACCCAGGTCTTAGGGGTATCAGTCTAGATGGCCCTCATGGTTCTCCTGGATTAACAGGACTTCCTGGGAGAAAAGGTGAACCAGGAGATGTTTTCTCTTCTGGTCATGGTATCTTTGGTCTACCTGGTTTTCCTGGTCTCTCTGGTGTGGTTGGAAATAAAGGACTGCGTGGCTTATCTGGAATTCCTGGAACTCCAGGTCAGTTTAATACATTATGTTTAAATCAAGAAAATCAACCCCAATTGCAATTGGTAACATTCAAGTTCTTTGGGGATACAGGCATACAAGGCAATCCTGGCCGCCCGGGCCCTAAAGGAGAACCAGGAGTCAACGGTGACCCGGGTGCCATTGGTTTCCCAGGTCCACAATGTGCTAAGTGTGACATCATTGAAACTCCAGGGCCTCCAGGGCCTCCAGGAAATCCTGGACAGAGAGGGTTTTTAGGTAAGAAAAAACAGTAGCTTCACTTTTAAAATGTCTTTTTTCTCTTTGTCAATATTTTATGTCCAATGACCAACCTATTGTTGAACAGGACACCAGGGTCCAAAGGGCTTGAAGGGGGATGTAGGTTTTCCTGGTCATGGACCAAAGGGTCTTCAGGGCTTTCCAGGTCCTTCTGGTGTTATAGGGCTACCTGGACCAGGTGGCATTGCTGGCCCTGTGGGAGATCCTGGTAGTGCTGGTTTTCCAGGAGAAAAAGGTAAATCTTTAGCATTCTTTTTTCTAAAGATCATGCAAATTAGCTTTTTATTTCAGACAAGATTAGGTTTCTGAATAATTCATTCAGGTGAACGTGGCTCTCCTGGAAGAGCTGGGGCAAGAAGTTTACCTGGACGTACTGGATCTCCAGGGCCCAGGGGTAAACAGGGAGAGAGGGGATTCAATGGTCGACCTGGTCAGCCAGGAGATCTGGGTCTGCCAGGGGTAAAAGGTCAGTCCAGGTTCATGATATTTCTGAAACTTATTTTCTTAAAGTACTGATTTAGAAACACTGCCTTCATCGTTACACACACAGACCTTCATTTGGTCACGGCTTTTTTATGTGTCCAGGTTTGCCGGGTCCTCCAGGATTATCAGGAATAAATGTGACAAAGGGTCCTGCAGGACTTCCTGGAAGAAGGGGTCTACAAGGATCACTTGGACAAACAGGTAAATAACCTTTCACTGGTAAAATGTCTTCATCATTCTGTTTATTATCAAATCACTGTTACTCATATTTGATTAATTTTCTTGCAGGGACAAGGGGTCAGAGAGGAATACCTGGTGAGAGAGGGCCTGATGGACGGCCTGGTCCTCCAGGGTTAAAGGGCAGCATTGGTGCACCAGGCAAATCAGGATTACCAGGGATCACTGGGAACCCAGGAATCAAAGGTTTGCCTGGTCCAAGAGGATTTCCTGGACGGATTGGTGATCCGGTAAATCATTTCTAGCAAATACTTTATTTCTGACAAGAACATTTCCAACTCAGTTTCTCTTACTTTATTTGTTTCCTGGAGAAATGTAACAATGTAGATTACTATTATTAATTATGAAAGAACTCTAAAGGACTCTAAAAATGTTCTACCAAACTGAGATAACAACTTAAACAAACATACCTGTTACAGGGCGACCCAGGCCCTACAGGACATCATGGGATACCAGGGTTACCAGGAAGCACTGGTGCCAAGGGTGAGTAAGACTGGTGGAATTGTCAAAGCATTCTGATCAGTGGTCTGAACTATAAATGATCTGTTTTTGAAAAACACTGATGACAACCCACCATTATGAATGTGTTCCATTCACTCAACTATAAAGTGCTTGAATGTCTATAAATATACTTCAGGTGAAATTGGAGAGTCAGTGGGACATCCTGGTCCACCTGGACCTAAAGGACTACCCGGAGACCATGGACCATGTGGTGAGTGACAGTTCCACATTTAACAATAAAACTAATCAGAACACCTCTAAAGTGATAAGGAGGATTTAAAAATTCCTGGATTTTTTGGCGCAGTATAAAGAACTGACATTCTATTTGTGGAAACGTTTACATCTACCAACTTTACTCAGCTTCCAGAGCCCATCCAGGGGATCCAGGTGATCCAGGACCCACAGGAAGACCAGGGTCACCTGGACAACCAGGCATTCAAGGGGGACAAGGGAGACGTGGACAACCAGGTCATTTTAAGTAACAGCTGAATAGATGAAGCAATGTTCTGCAGTAGAAATGAAACCAAGTTTTTCTAACTTTTTCAAGCAAAGTAATGACCTTTGACATTACATGTTTCCAATGATTAAGTTTAATGAAAGTCTCATCAACATTGATATATTTGTCATTTTATTTCTTAAAAACTCTCGCACATCCTTTATTTTGGGAATAAATGTTTCTGTGAAGGATACACTGGTCCTCGTGGTCCATATGGAAGTGCAGGTGTTCCAGGTATTCCGGGCGACAAGGGAGGTGTGGGACCACCGGGTCCATCTGGCCCATATGGTCCTTCAGGTAGAAAAATGACCTTCACTGGTTGTCCACTTACTATGCTGAATCACCAGTGCACGTACACACACACTCACACAAAGTAGTGATATCATTCATCTCCATTGTTTTATTTATATATAGGGGCTCTGGGACCACCAGGGTTGGACGGATTAAATGGACTCAGAGGAGCCAAGGGAATAAAAGGATCAAATGGTAAGATAAAATAATATATAAGCTCACTTCCAGTGTTCTCATATAATTTTAGGAACTTTCTGAAAAAGCATAGCACAGTTTTTCATGTTTTGGTGTTTAACTGAACATTTATTTATAATATTTAAAGGTAGAGTTCTTTTATGTGAGAAAGTAATTTCAGTTCACACAATATTTCCCACATCAATTATACTTAAAGTTAAATATCATCAGTTACATTCAATAGTAAATGCACTGCTGTTAAACTTTGACCTTGAACTTATATACAGTAGATAAGGCTCCTGCTTTAGCTGAATACTGTCCCAGATGAAATTACAATATTTTCATCAGGCAAAGACACTCCTGGCCCTCCTGGACCTGATGGGTTTCCTGGAGTCAAAGGTTGGAGAGGTCACCCAGGGCTTCCAGGCTCTTCTCATCTTGGACCTAAAGGCCTACAAGGTCCACTGGGCCATGCAGGTATTACACATAAATGTTATGGTTGTTAAACTGCTAAATATTTTTAAGAAGGTTATATTTGTTTTTACAAATTCAGTTTTTGCAGAATGTATAGTTTGACTAAATTTTTCTTGTTGATTTAAATTACTTATGCAGTAATGACAAATTAGAATTTTGGCTTCGGAATAGCTGTGTCTTCCACTGTTATATTGAGTTGCTGATGGTAAACCATTTAAATCTGACAACAAAACAACCAAAATCACCCTGTTTTTTGTCTTATTCTTCTCTGACAACCCACTTTACCTGCCACAGATGCTAAACAATTATATTTTTAGGCCGCCCAGGTTTCCCAGGAGAACCTGGATACCCTGGTAAAGAATGCCACAGACCTCCACAAGGATTTCCAGGGGATACAGGAGTTGAAGGACCTCCAGGACCTCCGGGTTAGTGTAACTATTAACAACTGGTGCAACATTTTTCATAAAATATTTCCTCTCTTCAGAGCTTAAATTTTGCAATTTTTTAAGGTCCTCCTGGGGAACCTGGCACTCCAAGAGAAGGCATTTCTCCAAAGGGTGACCCTGGACCACCTGGCCTTCCTGGGTCATCAGGTTTAATTGGAGTGAGAGGCATTCCAGGTCCTCCAGGATTTCAGGGTGATCCTGGAATTAATGGCCCAAAAGGTGCATTATAGGAAAACATTATTATTATTATTATTATTATTATTATTATTATTATTATTATGTTTCTACTTGATATCATTGCATTTGGCAGGTGAGAAAGGTTCCATTGGTCTCATGGGTGTTCCGGGACGTAAAGGTCAACAAGGTTTCCCTGGGCCCATGGGCTTGAAAGGAAGACAAGGGTGCCCTGGAAATGAAGGTGAGTATGAGAACAAAACTTCTGGTTTTAATCCAATTATAGCTCAGGGTCACTGTTGGTTGGGTATCGCAACTGGGTCATGTCATTATTTGCACAGTGCACTTCACCTGGTTGTAGCAAAATACATGATTGTTTTTAAAATGACTTCTATGAGAATGCTGGAGGGAGAAAGTCTGATATAATTATATAATAAAATATCAGAGAAGGCAGCTTAATGTTATAAAAAAAATGAATAATTGAGTTTTAATGACATTTGTTTTTTAGGTCTCATTGTTTTAACACATTCTGTGACATTTTTACACTCAGTCACCTGGTAATTAATATTTGTTTTAACCAGGTTTAAAAGGAGCTTCTGGTGACATTATTAGATTAATACAGGTGGCACCAATGCCCGGACCACCTGGTCCACCTGGTTTTCCAGGACCAGTGGGCTTTCCTGGCACTCACGGTCTTCCTGGGGATCTGGGCCGAAAAGGTAAGATATTACAGTAGAAATGACAGTGTTTTACAGTATATTATGCTAATGTTACACCTTGCAGCCCAAACCATACATTGTCCTGCACTGTCTGATTGTATGTTACATTTATTTTGTATTTATTCGTCCTTCTTTGCCCTGTGGTTCAGGACAAAAGGGTTCCGTAGGGTCAATCGGCCCACCTGGGGTACAAGGTCCTGCAGGACCAGATGGCAGAGTTGGAGATGCTGGTGAACCTGGGCTCACTGGATTCACTGGACCTCAGGGTAAATATTTAGTCACATACATGTCTTTTGTGCTATTGAATGTGTGTTTGGAAAGTCAAAAGAGAAAAAAAAAATCATACAAGTCAGATAGTTCAGATATGTGACAATTCAAGTCCCCATTTGAATTACTGACTCCACTAAGCACTTATTTTATTTTATTTGTATTGCCATAGTTCTCCATAACTATTTTATCTACAGGCTACAATTTACATCCCTTTATTCACCAGGTGTTCCAGGTGCACCTGGAGATCCAGGACAACCCGGCCAGAGGGGGTCATCAAGACTGGGCTTTCTTCTGGTCATGCACAGCCAGTCAGTTCAGGTGCCACAGTGCCCTGATGGCAGCACTCAACTCTGGGTGGGCTACAGTCTGGTTTACCTTGAGGGTCAGGGGCAGGCCCACGCTCAAGACCTCGGTAGGATTATTCTAAAAGTGATGCTTTAATTCTCAAATAAACACATGAATACATTCCTACAGTCTCTTCAACCTTTAACCTCATCCCACAGGCCAGGCTGGCTCTTGCCTCCCTGTGTTTTCAACTATGCCTTTCTCCTACTGCAACAAGGCTGCATGTCACTACTCCAGCAGAAATGACAAGTCCTGCTGGCTCTCCACCACTGCTCCCTTACCAATGATGCCGCTGTTTGGCCAGGAGATCGTCTCCCACATCAGCCGCTGCGCTGTGTGTGAAACAGTTTCCCCTGTAGCAGCTTTCCACAGCCAGGATCACACTGTCCCCATGTGTCCACCTGGCTGGCGGAGTTTATGGACAGGATATTCCTTTCTCCTGGTGAGTGTAATACAATATTTGACAATTTTAATTTAGGAAAATTAAAAAAAATATTCTATTAAGGCATTTACAGAAAAAAACATTGATGTTTTTGGCACAATGCAATGTCCTTTGGGGAGGTGTGGGGGTCAACAGGATTTTCTTGAGTGGCTAAGTGACCAGAGGATCCCCGTGCAGACAGACCTGGTGGTTGAAACTGTCACAGCACAAGTAAAAAAATGACATGGGACGCAATCATCTGAACAACTGTGTTATTTTCATTAGCAAAAGCTACAAAATCATCAGTAGAGTTTGTCCGTGTCAATGTGATGATGTCATCAAATTCTTGTTGATACCACTATGACTTCATTGTCAAATTGGTCGACGTGAATAAATCAGAAGTGGTCAGAGCCCTGCCTTCTAAATATCTGCCTTCTGCATTACTGTTTTCAGCACGCAGGGGCAGGTAATGGAGGCGGTGGCCAATCGCTGACCTCTTCTGGCAGCTGCCTGAAGGATTTTAGAACTCATCCCTTCATCGAGTGCCAGGGCGTGCGAGGTTCCTGCCACTACTTTGCCAACCTCTACAGTTTTTGGCTGACTACTGTGAATCAGGCAGAGCAATTTGTTACCCCGAGATCTGGCACCATAAAAACAGATGATAAACAACGAGCCAAGAGCAGTCACTGTCACGTCTGCCTCAGAGGGAAATAAATCTTCTGTACTCTTTCTACTTTAACATATTTTATAAATATACCTGTTTTTTACCTATAGGTTACATTTAAGGTAGATTACTCTAGTGTAGGTGTATTCAGATGAATAAATAAGTATGATGATGAATAAATACAATATGATTATTCTTGTAACTATCAGTGAAGCCTGAACTCACCTCCGTGCCAGCAAGACTTTGAGCCTTTGACTTGATGTTTTCTCTTTCCCATTTGAGCGGCAGTGCCTACCAGTGGCACAAAAGAGTAACTATTAGATTGTACAACAATGATAAAATAAAAGTGAATCCTCTTTTTAGCATTTATAAGAGGATTGCCTTTATTTTTATCACAGTAAATAACTCACAAACTTGAAGGGACACCCTCTCATCATCAGTCCAGGTTCAACAGCTGTGAAAACAGTGATTCACATCCAGAGAGTAGATACCCACAATGGGTTTCAAGTTTATATTTATTTTTTTCTCTCAACAGAAATCAAGTGACAATCAGAATACAGTACTGTTTTTCCTCAGCGTGTTTTTTTTTTCCTTTCCTTTTTTTTTTATTACGCAAAACAAGAGAACACTCAGTGCAGTAGGACAGAGGACTCTGACGGTGCGGTGCTCTCTCTACCTTTTCACAGTGCACATTTAAACACAAAAGAGATTGTACATCATCATTATTACATTTCCAAACTCCACCCAACAATATCCATGGGGCAAAGTGAATGTCTCGAAACAATCATTTGTAAAAATCCATCTCTCATACAATACAGCTTGGCACACTAACACAGACACACATGCACATCTCTCGCAGTTCACACACGGACACATACACCCACACGTACACACACTTACACATTCACATATAACACAGAGGGACCTGTGTAGAACTTCGATTCTTACCAGAGAGGGGACTGCACTTGCACTCTGTGGGTTTGCTCGTTTGTCAAACGTATACTATTTTGGCAATGTTGACATTGCATTTTAATGTGCAAAGAGAACCAATTGAGATGACGTGAGCAGGGAGCTGAGGTAGAGGGAACAAGCTCAAGGAGAAAGATGTGTATGTTACCAGCCTGATTAAATGTGATGGAAGATGATGGGTAGTGCAGATCTGTTTTTTTTTCTTTCTTTCCGAACACAGCCTAAATCATTTATAGGCTCTTGTGCAACCCCGGTCATCTTGACTGGGTAGAGTTGTTGCCATGAGATAGGTCCTTATAGGATTTGATCTCTAAAATGGTTGCCAGCCAATTTAATTGGAAATATTGTCAGAGACAACCAATCACGGCTGACTGCATGTCACACGCAGCCAACGTCTCCTGAGGCTTTATTTGTCCTAAACTAAAAGTTCCATGGCACAGCCTCCTGACTCCTGGCATTTTTTAAAATATATATATTCATATAAGCATAATCTTGACAGTTATTACATAAGCAAGTGCATATGGCTCTTATAATCTGCAGTAAAATAAAGAAACTTTCTAAAAGCTCAGGCGTTGATTGTACGGGCTGGAAATGGGCACCGAATATATACACTGTGTCACGGTGCCTGCAGTGGTCATTTTAAAGTTGGGTGCTGGTACTCCCAACCTTTTTCCCACCCGCCCCATTTTAAATAATCAAACCTCCCAAGTGTGACCTTACCCATGTCTTTCTTAAACAGGCTTTGGCTGGTTTTTATAAATAATATTGTTTAAAATGTAGATATTAATAAATTACCTCCTCAGACAGCAGAAACATTTCACCCTTTCATGGCCATCTACAACACATCAGCCGACAGGTTCACCTTTGTAATGATTCAACCGTTTCAAAAGGCTCCAACGTAGTCACTACACAGCTGTCTATTGTGGTATGCACACTAAAGCCAGCAAAATTACCCGTTGCTGTTCTAGGAGTAACAGTTGTATGTTTTACAATATTGGACCAGGAGAAACAGGTGCTGAAATAAAGTCTCCAACTCACAATACATCTGTAGAATGTGACGTGTATATATAGACGTAGAGTCACTTTAGTGCTTGGGCATAAGAAAAGTATGCTACCACAGTACAAGTATCCATAGATTATGCTTTGAAATGCAAAATAAATAAAGCAAATATAGTTTAAAAACCAAGAGAATCAGATTGCATCTACTTCTATTATACATAATTTAAGATGCTTTTTAACCCCGTCTCATTTTAAAAAATATCTATTCATCAAATATCTATTCTACTTATTAATGTACAAGAATCCAGTCACAGGAAATAGAAAAATATTAAATATCACCAGCAATGATAAGAAAACATGACAACCTGAACAAGCAGAAATATTGCTATGGTAACTGCCATTGTCCTTTGACATCATCAGCGAGTATCAACCCCTGGTGCTCTTTTCTGGCTGTCCCGGGCACCCTGATGTTTCGGGAGGGAATCAGCCCAATGCGAAGGAGAGAGGAAGTGGGTTAATTTGGGGTTGTTTGGTAAGGAGGTGCAAGTGTGTCGTTCCTGTCAGATGGCTGTGTCCCAGAATACAGTTTTCTGTGTGGGGTAAGGGGGAGGGCGGATCTTTTTGGCACCGCTGTTTTTCCCCCAGCTCTCTTGCTTGCACTGATTACGCTCCTGGTGTCTGTCTTCGTTTTTGTCTGGAGGCGGTGGAGGAGGCCTTTCCAGAAATTTCTGCAGCTTTGGGTGCTGTCTGGAGCGGATCTCCTTGCACAGGATGCGTTTCCTCTCAATCTGCTCTAACATGGTGTTGTCCCCACATATCCACGGCATCTGGGTCATCTGAGGGATTGATCAAAAGTGTTAGGTGAAGTGCTGCAACTTGACTTTACACTTAATTGTCCATGTGTCTTTATTAGCATGTGATTGGTAATTCGAGATTAAGCTTTGGAATCCAGTGTTAAAGCTTTTTAAGCTTTTCTTAGGGCATTGCAGGCATCACTGGCACTGACATGTCTTGTCTTTAGTGGTGATCTATCCAGGGATTACAGATGCTACTCACACGCCATTCTACAGTATTATTATGTGCATAAAAACACCTGCACCAAAAATTAACAATTGAAACCAAACATCTCACCTGACTTTGATGTGTCTCTGAAACTCTCCTTTGTGGAGTTCCCTTTGGTGAAGGGTTAGCAGGAACTGACGTTGAGCGGCCATATTTTGGTGGTGCTTTCAAATCTACAAAGGAAATCACAAGTAAGGTGATTAGAACATATATGTGTACTGTACTGTACTGTACTGTGTTTCACAGCAAGAAATACTCTACATCTAAGGTCTTGGCTCTCACCATTCCCTGCTCTCATGGTCATTGGTGGACTTCCGGATGGTCTCCCATGGTGCGTAGGTGTTGTTGTGGATGAATGTTGTCCTGACATTGTGCTGCCATTCCTCTCTTGTGCTTTTGATTGTTCCGTGCTGCAATTTGTTCTGTTTTCGCGTCGAGGTGTGCCATCTGACCTAAATACCCGCTCTTTGCTTTCACACCTGTACTCCATCACAGAGGTGCCATTCAGACTCCTGTCTTTGCTGTCTCGTCTCACCTCCAGGCCAGTTCTGCTCACATCTCTGCTGTCCTGTTTTGGGAGGAGAGGAGGAGGAATATCGCCTCCGTTGTGGAGGCTGCGGTCTCTCCTTTCATGTTTGGATTCAAAGCTGGAGACAGCTCTGTCTTTGTTGTTCCTGGATGTTTCTTGACGAGGCAGGATCTCTGGAGGTTGATCTATTCTACATTCATGCCTGTGCTCCATGTCATTCCTTACTCTTTCCTTGCTGTCCTGTCGAGGTAAAATATCAAGGCGATGCTCTGCTTTGCTATCGTGTCCATAGTCTGCTCCTTTTCTTGCTCGGTCTTTAGTTTCCTGTCGGGGTGAAAGCTCAGGTGGCCTTACTTTGCTTTCATGCATTAAGTCAATACTGTTCCTTGTTCTGTCTTTGCTTTCCTGTACAGGCAGGAGCTCCCTGGATTCAAGCCTTGAGTCCACACCATTTTGTGCTCTTTCCTTGCTCTCCTGTCTTGGTAAAAGTTCAGGGGGCTCCAACAGCCTCTCTCTGTCTTTGCTGTCCTGTTTCAGCAACGAGTCCATGGTATGGCTGGTCCGATCTTTGCTGTTCCTCCTTGGCATCATGTCACCGTTGTTGATGCCTCTGTCCTTGGAGTCTCTTCTAATCAAAGAGATTTGTTCTAAGGGGTTGCAGCCCCTGTCTTTGGAGTCCCGTCTTACAGGGATGGGCTCCACACTGCTGCAGCCCTGGTCCCTGCTATCCCTTCGGATGTTACCTGTCTCCACATTATTAAGGTCTTTACTGTTGCATCTGTGGCGCATTTGCTCAGCATTGTTGCCTCCTCTGTCTTTGTCTCTGTCTCTGTCCTTGTCTTTGTCTTTGTCCCTACGGTGCGAGGACTCCTTGCTGTGGCGCTCCTTTGAGTCGCGCTTGGACTCCTTGCTGTGACTGTGGCGTTCCTTGCCCTCACGCTTGGACTCACTGTGAGACTTGCTTTTGGACTCAGCTGGACAGAAAAAAAAACACAAAGATAATTATAATTAAAATGTATGCAGTCAATTGGATGATACATTAACATATCAACAACATTATCACAGCATGTATGTGATTCACATATGATGGCACATTCATGTGTTTAGGAAAAAAATGTTATCACATTTTGCAATACCACCAAATGTCCTCTAGAGGTCACTCAGTACGAGATAAACGTCTAGTAGGAGATGACTAAATAAATGAGTTAATAGACATTGAGCTTCTTTTTTTAATAATAAGCAATTATCCTTGTCATGAGTAAATTTGCATAAGTATTAATTAGCATTAGGGTTTAATCTATTTTATTTTTTTACCTTAAAATTTAATAGACATGTATTTGCCCCAGTGTAGGATTGACAATTACTTGTGAAAAAAAAAAGAAAAAAAAAACACAAGGAAAAGGACCATTTGTTAAGAAATGTAAGCCTCAATTAAAATATTGCCACTAATTGGAGAAACCATAAACATGTACAGTACATGTATGACTGCCTTGCATTCATGCTGTGCCTTCATATGGTTTATATAGGGGCTTCAACATACAGTATACCATCAAAGGAGGATACCCCGTCATGCCCACGTGTGTCATATATGGGTTTCATTTAGTGCCTACGCATGCGTGTGAGTGTGTGTGTGTAAATCAGCATGATGATTAACCAACTGGTAAGTGGGTCAGGCTGTTGCTGCCTTCACTACCTCAGTAAAGGAGAGGGAAAAAATACCCCCCATTCCTCCTGTTGAAGTTGCAGATCAACATATGTAACTGTTGGTGTATTAGGCCACCAACACAGGCGTTGGCTTAAAAAATAAAAATTAATAATATACAGCAGAGTCCTGTCAACTATTTTCACTACATTGTTTGCAAACCATTTGGGGTTATAACCCGAAATAAGACTAACAGACCTAATATAAAGGGTGCTTGAAAATTCTTAGAAACACACCAAAAAAATCCATGTCAAAAGCAGTATCTGTTTTTTTAGTTTCCACTATCCCCATTTGACAGCCTTGCCAACTTGGTGATTGGCTTCATTATGCATGGAGTATGTCCTGATTGGACCAAAAAGACAGAATGTGAAATCATCAGCTCCAGGGTAGATTTTAGTCAAGAAGCAGAGTTTTCCCCATCAGGAGCTCAGCACTCTGTCTTCACGCTGTGAACTGTGATTGGCTGCATTGACCGAGGGGAGGGAATCTGCAAATAAGAAACAGGGACTTTTCCCTCTTCCACTGTTGCTATGTTGTAGTTGCTAAGAGCACTTGGTGAGGATGGATGTGAAAACTTACTATAGTTTTTTTTATTATTTATTGCCTTGTAACACTTGCTTAACTTTAGGAGTGTATCATTCTTATCAATCCAAACATTTGTCGCCATGCATTACATTTCTCAACATCTTTTATACTTATATACTTGAATTAGTGCATATTCAAAAATTTGATCATGTATTTTTTTGTCTCCAGCCTTAACAAGGCATTTTGATAGATAATAGTAGCTGCTATGCTAATGACCAAAGGGTAAACATGTGATGAGTAATAACATTAGATAACCATCATCTTTTAAATGGTGATTAAATTGTACTGTAAACACAGATTTTTGATAAAACACAAATCTTCTGTAAAGTTTGACCTGGCTTTCTGTACTCAAACATGATGTTTACATCTACAGAAGTAATGCAGCCCATTGGTCTAATACTTAGTAGGTTTAAGGAGGGGGGGCTGCTGTCTGCTTCAGGCTCTAATCCCCTCAGATTAAATCATATGATCTGTATCAGACCTGGCTCATGAGGACTGGATTAAATACATGGTTTGCAGCAGAAAAGCATTGTTAACAGGCTGCTTTGTTTACCGTCCCAGTTAGCATTTTTAAATTGGGGACTGTTTTCAGGCAGTGATTCAACTGTAGTTATACAGTATATATACATTGATATTTCAGTATGCTTTTTCACATTTTGGAATGTGAAATAAATCTGTCTGTGGTCGATTTTACAAGGAACCAAAAATATGACTCACTCTCTCCAGGTTCCTTTGACTTCCTGCCACTTGCATTTTTCTTCAACATGTTCCTGCCAGTAGTAAACAGGTTGGTCAGTTCGTCCAGTGGGCTGGTAGGTGTTCGTGAACGTCCTGAGGACACATTCTGCATAGAGCCATGGAGTCGGCCCGCACCATCATGAGGTGGTGAGCCTTTGCCATGAGGAGTGGCAGAGGCGCTCCGCGGCAGGCCTCCAGGGAATGGCATTGTAGCGTCGAAGGCTGGTGTACGCATGAGGCTTAGTGGTGTGAGACAGCGTCCCATGCTGACAGGTGATGGACAGGCAGAGTGGCTGCGTTGATAAGATGATGAGGAAGATGACTTGTAGAGGGTGCAGGGCAGAGGAGGTGCTGAGGAACGTCCGGAAACAGTGAGGGTTGGTGTGGCAGTCAGCTCCCTCCGGATGTGTGCGGAGGAGGGCGGTTCGTTGGAGGACGTTGGGGATTTGTTGAAGGGTTGGTTTTCCATCATAGGTAATTTGGTTACATCTAGAGGCGTGAGGGGAGACTCATCTGAGTTAGGTGAACACTGGGCTGGTGCTGGGGGGAACACCAACAGTGGAGGGCGATGGGTGAGTAAGTTTGGGAAAGGAGCCGGAATGTCACAGAGAGGAATGTTTCGAGGTGTGGAGCAGCGACTAAGAGGTTCGGGTTCATAGGGTGCTGGGGTGGGACAGGCGGAGCGGCATCCCACAGGGTCTGTACGATACTCCATGTCATCCAGGACTGGATACTTCATCTCCTCGTACACTGACTCTCCTGGCTCCTCATCCTCACTCTTCAGGGGCTCACGTGCTCCGACGTCAATCCCACCCATTTCTATATAAACAGGTTCATCTTCACAGTCATCTGTGGGACTGTCATCGCTCTGTGGAGGTGAAGGGTGGTGGTCACAGGGGGAGGTGACGTGGTGAAGAAGTTTTGAGGGGCAAACTCCACTGCTCCTGTGACTGTTGATGTAGGATTCATCGAAGGAAACGCTCAGTTGTGTGTTGGGATTCCTCTTGGGTTTGGGTGGTGGTACCCTCCTACAGTCTTCACTACATCCATGGGCTGCAGAGGGCAGAGTGAAAAATGTCTCAGTAATGTGGTACATTGCAGTATCACCTGTTTTCCTTTTTTATTATTTACATTTTAGCAGGCAAAAGGACAAACATATTATCCTATAATATTGAGATTATTATAAATAGAAACCTATTTGGATACAAGGGCAGGGAGAAAACCACACCTGAATTAGAAACACAATTTAGATTTCAGCACATTATGAGCAACTAGCGGTTGAATTGTGTGAGACAAGTACTTAATGATAATAGAATGTTATGAACAAAAACATCAACCATGTGCCTTCAATTGTAGATTTTTGTTTTTAATGCTCTTTATATAATTGTACCAAGTTTATGGAACTTTGCTGTTCCATTTGGGATTTTGTAAAGACTCCTGATTAAGTGATGGAGCCTAGCTATTATTCTATTTTTATGTTTAAATTAGTCACCATGACTCATTTGACTGGGTCAAATGTAGGTCATAATGTGTAGCTGAGAGCCATATCTTGACTCAGATATGTGGGAACACGGGAAGCATATGCATGTTTCTAGGTCACATATATGGCAGAGGAGTAGTATGTGAGAATAGTATCTGGGTCACACACACTGTGGAGCTTCTTCCTGATAGTGGTGACGTAGGATTGCAGTGTGAATCTCTTTAGATGTGATGGAGAGAGGCTGAGAAGCAGTGTTTCATTTTGGTTCAGTTTACTCACTAACGCTATATGATTGAGCTATTGTGCTGTTTTGAGATTGAGAATTTGGGAGTATGAAAAAATATAAACTTGAAATCTGGGCTTCAGTTTTTACCTTTAATTAGTCACATGTCACATGTCTCCTGTTCAGGCACATGTGTACTTCCTATAACTTCATGACTCACCACATGATTTACAGTCACTACAAGCGTGTATGCCAAATGCACACACAACCAAATACACTAACACAGGCACACACACACTAACACGGTGCAAATGTTTCTGCACTTCACTACAGGGAATATGGGACATGTACACATCTCACACTGTAAAAGTCTTTAAAGTATTCCAGAAAACTGTATTTCTGAGTAGACTTTTTTCTTCCTTATTGTCCCTCACGATATGTTGCACTGATGTCTTTGTTGCCAAAATTAGACGTATTGTTATGGCATACCAGTACTCAGTTAGTGGAAATTCTCGGAAGCAAAATCAAGTGAAATGTAAAATAGATAAACATGCTGCACCTGTGCAGTATAACACAATTACACGACATCTGAGTCAAAGTTGATGCTGATTTGAGCTGAGAATGGAATGTACATCAAAATGAACACTAATGAATGGGTGTTCATGGGTCGACAGCCAGATGTGGTCTCTTCATTTGTCTAATTGGACTTTTATATATTACTGCTATTGTTCTGTGCTTCTCTTTTGGCCTTTGTGTTCATTGGCTCATGCATTTTTAAAGTGCAAATTATTAAAAGAGATAATTTGTGCTTCTCTTCCATGTTTACTGTGTACAGTTTGCTAACAGGTTTCCAAGGTGGGTCTTCAGACCTGTTTCAGCACTGATGATGAATCCAAACATCCCTCTTCTTTCTCCTGTCCTCTCTCTTGGTTGCTCCCTCTCTCTCCCCTCCCCCTCTTGCGGATGTGTTTACCCGCAACCGACCCTCCCTCCCTTTCTCTCCTCCTGGGGAAATTGAATCTAGGTCAACCGCTCCTCCTGAATGAATTCTACTTTGATAAGCTCCGCCCCTTCCCGCTCCAGCTCCAGCTACAGAGCTCACTACCCTCCCTTCAGCCAGGGACACCCCCACACTCTTATTTTGATTGGTTCCAAAGCCTCAGACTCAGGCATCTCTGCAGCCTGATTGGCTCAAGCTGTCGAGTGATGCTGTGATTGGCTGGGCTGCAGGGGGTCTTGTTTCTGTGGGATGGTTGCCGTGGTGCCCAGGAAGATCTGTGTGCACATAGAACGATCCCAACCAATCTGAGGCAGCCTGGGCGACTCCCTTAACATTGCATTGGCAGCATTCAAACTGAAATGGAGTCGCAGCTTCCTCCATTACTGCCTGCTCTCACTGTCACCTGCCGCACAGACTGATCTGAGCACAATCTATCTAATGTAAACACTAATTCTGTAGCTCATAACAGTAGGATTGTACTACAGTACATACATTCCCAAATCTCCTGAAGCATCTCTATCATTTATCATTTCATTTCATATTGAAGCATGCATTTTGAAATGAAAAACCAATGTCATTATTCTCTTCATTTGCTAAAGTAGTTCTAATGTAGGTTTGATCTAATAATGAGATAGATATATAATGGTATAAAGTGATAATACTCTCAGAACTAAGACACCAGTTACTACAGATATGTCTTGGAAAGGAGTAATTTAATACTAACTGATGCACTGAGTAGTTTCTGATGTCTTTTACAACTCATCCCATGATCAGAAAAAACATATTTTGTTTCAAAAGGGTCAGATTATTGGACCACTTCGAGAAAAGGAAAAGCTTTCTGAAGTGCTGAAATTGCTGTGATTGGGTTAGCGACTGCAAATGCATTATGGAAATTGAGAAGAAAAGGAGCTTCCAGAAGGAAATGTGGTCAGGAAAACATCTTGATGACCACGAGGAAAGATGGAGAAATCTTCCTTTCAGTGAAAGTCAAATCACTGACTTTCACATCACAGTCCAACTACATTTAAGTGTAGTGTAGTTATGGCATTCCCTCACAGTTTGAAAGACGTGATAGACGTGAATTGATGTGAATGTGGACGACGATGCAAATGCTTGGAAAGCACCTTGTCATTGTGTCAAGACGGGTGAGATTTTTGGATGTATGCATACACACAGACACACGTGTGTGTGCCATAAATAAAGTCTGATATTTATTTACTTCCGTTGATTAGACGTCAGGTTATAATCCCATCATGAATGAGCTGTTTATAATGTCCTCATCAATATGCAGCTCCTGCCAAAATTAATTTAGGTTTATAATGAGACCTTGGGTGTCACACCTTTGTATGAGGAACAGTGTTGAGGAGGGCGCTGCAGGGTGCGGTTATATATAGCATAGCTTTTTGGTATGTTACGCCAACACCACTCACCATCACATTTCTCCCCACGGCAGGTGGACACAAGACTGTTGTCCACCGCCTCAGACGACATGCTCAGCTTGGTGGCAGGGTCCCTCCTGGGCTTGGGGGGCGGCTGCTTCCTAGAGGTCGGGCTTCCCACTTCCTCCTCTCCTCCACCCCCACTGCTTCCGCCACCTACAGAGTGAAGGGACTGGGAACGAACTGAAAAGCCCTGCCCGCAGGCAAGGGCATGCGGATGTGGCATGGGCATGCGTTCCTGGGGGTCAGGCATGGTAATAGATCCAATACGAAAGTGCTTTCCCTCTGTTGATATGTCTTCACCTGTCCTAAAACAAAAAAAAAGAGGAGGATGAGAAAGAGAAATTCACAGAAACATGGCAGTTGCAATAATAAATGACTAAGACAGGAGTTTTTTCTGACTGGTAAAAGTTGGTGCATGTAAAAGGCACCACAGACTTTTAGTGGGACTTTTAGAACAAGACATTGATTCCAGGTTAACCCTGGTTATTGGCTAATGCTCCTCACACAACCATGGTGGGGTCCCAGCCTGTACACAATCAATTCCTATGATTGCCCTGAATGTAGTGTTAATGATGTCTGAGTGTTGTCTGGTAATAGGTTTGCCTGCGTGCGGTTACGTGCAGTCTGAATGGGTGCCTAATTTGCAGAGTAAATAGGTTCAAGACCTCAGTGTTTAGGGAAATGGTTTGTTGAAAATACATATGAATTTATTATGAGCCATTCATTATTTATCGCATCAAATCCCACTTGTGTAATTGGTAAACATTTTGATAGGATTATGGTTAAATTTAATGGTCAAATAAATGAACAATGTTTTGATGTGATTTTTTAGATATCAAATCTATTCCATGTTCTGTTTGCGTGAGAAAGCTTTTTTTGGTTCTCTCTTAACCAGCTGCTCAACAGAAGGTGCTCGGTGGGGTGGGTTCATGACCACAGACTTAAATTTGCCTAGCAACATGGTACCCATAGAAACCAGACACTAAATCAGCTGCTGTCACACAATAATAACAAGGTGCACGTGTCCATTACGACCTCATTATTTTTAGCTCAAAATGAGGAAGCCAACCAGCTACCAACCAGCTGAGATAAATTAAAGAACCCATGGTCAGTTGCACACTATTTTGAAAGTAATGTCAAAAGTTAATGATAAATATAATCTGTGGGACTAAGAGAATAGTCATGTAGATCACCGAGGTGTCAGCTGCACCCACATATTGCATATGACTACATATATGTACAGCCATATATATATCGGGAATGTTTGTATGTGCATGTATGTGTAAGTGTAGTCAGGTGTCAGTGGAGCTGGGACCAGTTTATATATAGGATATTTGCCCAGTGATTGGCCACAGGACAGACTAAAAGTACACCTACACCAGGAGTTGGTGACCTGTCGTCAGGCATCTCTGATTCTGTGTGCTGTGATGTCACGAGCAAAGATGCAAAACACAGCCACACACTCTTTGCACGCACACACACACACAAACTCAATTAAGGCTGCTGCCAGTGCTTTCAAAGGATAAGGCAAAAGCAGCCGTTTGAAATTTGCCTACAGATGCAAAAATATGTAAATAGTAAATGTGTGTGTCTACGGGTGTTGTGCATTGCATGTGTGTGTAGTAGCTAGGTGTTTCAATAAATGTGTGTGTGTGTGTGTGCTGCATGACGAACTTCTGAGGAGACACAATAAAAGAAGCCCAGAGTGAGCAGCAGGCAGGAAGGCCCGCCTCACTCAAACCGAGCATACTGATCTGATTGGCCTATGGCTGTTCCAGCTGTCACCAGGCAGAACACATCTCCTGCAAATGAGCTCACAGGTTTAATCTTAAATTGTTTTTTTCATCATTTATTTTTACTATTCTGAGACATCTATTAATGCCAAAGACACTGAAACACTGAAAAAAAAACCTTTGTCCTACTCTGGTAATCTATTGTCCTGTTGCTGTATTTGCACGTGAACACTGGCAGGTATGTCATAGTGGCACATGCAAGAAGGGACACGTGGATCTTTAGATTACCGTCACTTCAGTATAAATGGGTCATCTCCATGACCTACTTATAAACCTCATGAAAAATCTAGTTATTTTTTAAGACTCTTCCTTCAGTAATTATTTATTAATATTTTAGCTTTGGCACCAAGGGGGCAGCAGTTGAAAGAAAGTGAGTCATTTGATGCCACATCTTCTGTTGTGGCAGCGCGTGTCCTCATCTCCCGGTTCATGCACATGGCTGCATTAGATTGTCAAAGGCAACCAAGTTGATAGCTGAAGTTGTAAAAGTGTTTCTGTTTTTCTTATGCATGAGGCAGTGAGTTGAACTCTGTGTCACTTTTGATCATGCGAGTGATGTGCAGCCAGCAAATGGACAATCACATATGGACAGTCCCAGCTCCTCTCAAATCTCCTGACCCTTTGACAGTAACGCGACAGGGTTCAGAGTGCACCTGTGTACATCGGCTAAGAAGACACACATCTGTTCATGGCTCATAATACAATAATTTGATACACAGCAAAACCCCAGACGAATACTGTAATACATTGCTAGAGTCAATAGCACAAAATAAATGTACATGTCACATTGATTATTGCTTTTGTATTTAAACTAAATTAATTGATTACTCAAAAGTATAAATCAAAGTAATATATCTAAACAGTAGTTGTGCACACGCTACAGAGACCGGGAGCTGGTGGTAAAAGACCTGCATTTTTCTTCAATTCCTGTGAGTATAGCAGTGTGGTGTTTAACCTATTAGGTACATTTTGAGTAAATTGAAACTGTAAGATGACTGCATTTCATTACATATGTCTTTGGGGGAAACTCTCTCTCTCTCTCTCTCTCTCTCTGCTGGCCGAACCCTCAGCATCTCTGTTCAGTTCTGAAAAGCCCTACTTCTCTTGAGAACACCAGTGACCTCCATGCAAGGGCAAGGCCCACATATTTCGGAAAGTGAAAAATTAATTATCCTCTTAAGATCAAGGGCTACAGGATTCCACATTAGAGCAGTGCAATATATGGCAACCTGCCATGGCCACAGAGACCCTCTGGCCATGTGTCCCACTTCCTTACAACCCCTTCATTAACTAAACCTACTGACATCCTTTTATTTACATCTATAAATCTGGGCTTCCAAATCCACTTAACGTCGGTCTATGCATCAAAACCAAATGTAAGTGTTGCTCTCTGTTATCATCAGGTCCTTTTACCTCCTTATGGCTTCCTCTTGTTTTCTCTTCTTGTCATTTTTTTCCTGGAGGAATGCCCTATTTCTCTCATTCCTGGCAAAGTCCAAGTTTTGAGCTACCAGGGCATTGTAGGCTCTCAGCCCTTTCTCTTCAGCATACTGGAAAAAACGAAGAGGTTCCTCCTCTTTGGAGTTCATCATTCTTCAAGTGTGTCCACAGCATTCTGTAGAGGAAATACATCATTAGAATTGTTTGCTAAAAAACGTCATAAATCCAACTCTGGGTGCATATCTGGGAATTTTGGTTATTCTTTTGAAAGTTTTAATTTTCAAGGTCAGATTTGGTGAAAGGAAAACCATAGCAGCAAAATTGCATCAGCACTGAAGTATTGTCACTTACAGAGTTTGTGCAATGTTCCTATTGTTTTTTGTTTTGTTTTTTTAAAGATTTCTGATTGTTGCTATGTAGTTCATGGCCCGAGGAAGGTTCATGTTGGCAGTGAGACTTGCATCATTTCTGTTTTTTTTGCAAGACTGCAAGCTTTTACCCTTGAGGGTTGCGGGATCTTTCTCCATCACTCATTAAAAAACACACACACACATGCTCACACACACTATCTTGCTACAGCTACTCATTGCCTACTTATAATTCTGGCTGTTGTAAAGCAGTGCCTGCTCATTTTCACAGTTGTGTTTACACATTTCCTGGCTGAAATTACTAGAGTGTGTGCGGAAGACTGACAAGAAGCTTTTCATCTGCTGCCATTGTAAAATGTTTTGGCCTCAGATGTGAAACTGTAGTATTCCTGGGACAGAACCGCACAGATAAAAGCAAGCAATCTTACTTGAATGTAGTTCTCGGATTTACGGATGTCATCCTCTCATGTTTGAAATCTAAAAATAATCTCCTGAGCTTTCTTTAGCTTGACTCTTCCTCCATGCCTTTGATTCGGTGAAGGTTTTCATACACCACATCACAGCTTGTCCGTGCTGTGAGGAAAAGCCTCATCAAAGAAATCATTCACAGTGGTGCAGTCATTTTGTGATTAACTCCTCCTTAAATTTTTAATCAGTTAAAAATAGCATCGTCTGCAGCCACTTAAGATGCAACCCCTGTACGGTGCAGTTAATGGTGTCAACGGTGTGTATGCATTCACAGAAAGCTGAAGAGCAACATGTATGGAAGGTGCAACAGTCAACAGGAACTTGGACAAAAAAAATTATTGGAGGGAAAAGATTTTTTTTATGTGGGTCAAATCAGCCTGAGACTTATGCCAGCTTATGTGTGAAAGAATCACTCAGTGTGAATGTGTACGAGAGGGGGAGGAGGCCGGTGATAACAGTTTGT